AAGGTACTCAAAATACACAGCGGCCGCAAGCACAGACTCGAGTGTAGCAGCGATCGTGCAGATGGCACAGGACCAGGCAGCGTCTGGTTCCTCACGTGACTGGAGATGGCTCGACAGCCAACTTACAAGAAACCGCACTTTATCTGACACATGATCAGCAGAGTCAACAAAGGCTACCTGCACACAGGGTCTCCTACAGCCGGTCTGAGGCGTGACGCTTCTAGAAAAATCCCTCAGGACGGAAGAAACGTGTTGGAGCCTAACACCCTCACATTTCTGCCAAGACTGGGCCCTGAAAGGAGGATCTTTAGACAGTCAATATTGGGGGAATCAGCCAAAATGATTTGGGGCACCCTGACTGCCCGAGTGCTACACAGGCCAGGGTGGCACCCGAGCTGGCTCCCGGGGGGCAAGCGCCAGCCAAGTGCAAAGAACGGGAAGGCCAAGCACCTGAGGTGGACAACGGATGCCTGGCGGATGGCTAGTATAACCCTGTGGCCCAGCTGGCAGCATCTGGGCAGCTGGTGGAAGGTGGGCGGCCTGGTAAGAGGGCAGGAGGTGAGGGGCCGGCCCCTGACTCGGAACCCACCTGCCCCAAAGCTGTTCCTCAGGCAGGCGGGTCAGAGCGGCTGGAGACCTCCCCTGTGAGCACCTGCCTGGCTGCGGGACCACCCTGGTGGGTGCCTCTGAGCGCTGCAGAGGATGCCCAGAGCATCTCAACACCCCCGGAAGGACCCCAGCACTGCCTCGTCTCCCGCCACCTACACCAGGTCCCTCCCACGGCCTCTCCTACCCCAGAGCTTCCCTGTGGGCGGCCAGGGAACCAACCAGGAACTACCCCGGGGGAGGTGTGTGACCCAGGCCCACTGCAGGCCAGCCCCACGCTCTACAGCCCGGGATGCACCCATCACCCTCCCTCTCATCCCCCCAAGCTGTACGGATCTCTGGGGGGAGGTGAGGGCTGGGGAAGACGACCAAACACAGCTCTGACACAATGACGAAGCTCCCCACAGCAGACAGGCGCGTGGGCACACACATACATACTCCTCCGCACATACACACACACGCAGGAGCGTGGTCCAGGCCCACGAGGGCAGGCATGGGGGGGACCCAGGTCAGGAGGCTGGCACCCTGAGGGGCAGAACCCAAGGCCCCTGTTTGAAACAAGCGGGCATGCCCAGGGCCACGACAGACACTTCTCTGAGCCATCTGTCCCTGCAGAGTGACAGAGAGGCTGGCCAGGTGGCCGGAGGCGCTGAAGTGTCATCCCTGTGAAACAGGAAAGGAGTAGGGGTGGGGAGACTGCAGGTGTGGGTGTGGGTGTGGGTGTGGGTGTGGGTGTGTGCATGTGCGTGAGTAGAAGTATGTGCAGGTGTGTGGGTGTGCATGCAGGGTGTGTGTGTGTGTGGCTGTATGTGGGTGTGCGTGCAGGGGTACGTGTGTGTGGTTGTGAGTGGCCTGTGTAGGCATATCGGTGTGTGCGCAGGGTGTGAGTGTGTGCAGGTGTGTGAGTGTGCACAGGGTGTGAGTGTGTGCAGGTATGTGAGGGTGTAGGAGCGGGCTGTGTATGAGTGGCGGGTGTGAGTACGCAGTTACGTGAATGGATTGTGCAGGTGTACGTGCAGGATGTGTGTGTGCAGGTGTGTGAGTGGGTGTGTGTGCGCGCAGGTGTGAGTGGGCGCAGGTGTGGGAGTGGGTGTGGGAGTGTGCGCAGGGTGTGAGTGTGTGCAGGTGTGAGTGGGTGTGTCAGTGTGTGCAGGTGTGTGAGTGGGTGTGTGAGTGGGTGCAGGTGTGGGTGTGTGAGTGGGTGCAGGTGTGCGAGTGGGTGTGTGAGTGGGTGCAGGTGTGTGAGTGCGCAGGGTGTGTGTGCAGGTGTGTGAGTGGGTGCAGGTGTGTGAGTGTGTGCAGGGTGTGAGTGTGTGCAGGTGTGTGAGTGGGTGCAGGGTGTGAGTGTGCACAGGGTGTGAGTAGGTGCAGGGTGTGAGTGGGTGTGCGAGTGGGCTGTGTAAGCGGCGGGTGTGAGTGTGCAGTTACGTGACTGGGTTGTGCGGGTGTACGTGCAGGATGTGTGTGTGCAGTTGCGAGTGGGTGTGTGCAGGTGTGCTGGGGAGTGTATGAGTGGGGTTAAGTGTGCAGTTGTGTGAACGGGTGGTCCAGGTGTGGGGTGTGAATGTGTGCAGGTGTGTATGCAGATTGTGGGGGTGTGCAGTGTGTCACACGTGATCCTGCAGTTGCCAAGGCCTCTCAGCGGACTGCAGGTGTGAGCTGACTTGGCTCACTCCACTCTGACACGCGCCCACGCCCACCCAGGGCTCCTCCATCACCCAGACCTCCTGGCGGGGCCTCTCCCCACTGCCCTGCCCCCTTAGCAGGTTTCGGAAAGAACTCCCTGCATCTAAAGGCAAATTTCAATCCAAAAGAAAACAGCAGATGGAAAATCCATTTAGGAAGCATGAAAAGAAAGCGCAACACAAAAGGCGGAGGAAAACCGGACGCCTGAAAACCCTTGCCTCACAAAAATACCCAGTGCAGACGGTCTCCGGTCAATTCCAATCAGCAAACGACTGGTCTGGCTGAATTAGAAGCGCAGAGCCGAGAAATGGGGACACGGAGGAGGTGGAAAGGGAAGGCGCCCACTGCGGGGATGGCATGGATGAGGGGACACCTTGGGAAGGAGGACAGGAAAGGCGCCAGCGAGGGGATGGCAAGGATGAGGGTGCAGGTGGCACCTAAAGCAGTAGCAGCGGGAACAGAAGTTTCCAGAATCGGCCAGGGACGGGGAGGCCAGGCCCGGACAAGAGAGACGAGTGTGGGGAATGACACGAGGGAACAAGGCAGGGGGGACCTGACGGGGGGGGGAGGGTGATCCCAACAGAGTGGGACCCGACGGTGTGGGACCTGAAGGGGTGGGACCTGACGGGGTGGGACCCGACGGGGTGGGATCTGCAGAGGAGAAGAGAACAAAAAGTCCAAGCCAGGAGCTCACGACAACTCTCCTGGCATCAAAGGCAACTCGAATCCCCAAACAGAAAGGCCCACTGCCTCCTGGGCAGATGGAAACTGGTCCATGTACATTTTCAACAACAACAACAAAGTGTTAGTTTATCATTAAAGGTAGGAAGGTAAGCAGCAGCAGCAGAACTATTATTGGTAACGGGGGAGAGTGGAGCGTGGGAGGAGGTAGGGGGGTGCCAAGGTCCTCCTGCAGCACAGGCACAGATACCATCTAAGGGGTCTGCAAACTACAACCCAGGGGCCAAACCTGGCCCGTGGGCCAAGCCCGACCTCTGCCTGCTTCCGTACAGTCCGCGAGCTGAGCATGTCTTTTATTTTTAAACAGTTGATAAAAATCAAGAGAAGAATAATGTTTCACAACAAGTGAAAATAATATGAAATCCACATTTTGATGTCCAGAAATACTGGCACACAGCCATGCCCGTCTGGGTACGTGTTGTCTACCACAGTTTTCAAGCTACAATGGCTCGAAAATGAGTGCTTGTGACAGAAACCATATGGCCCACAAAGCCAAAAACATTTACAATCCAGCCTTTCACAGGACATGTTCGCCACCCACTGTTCTAAACAATAGTCCCTGGGTGGTGCAAGTGGGTAACACACTCAGCCGCTAACCAAAAGGCTGGCAGTTCAAATCCACCCAGAGGCACCTCGGAGGAACGGACTGGTGATTACTTCCAAAAAATCAACCACTGCAAACTCCAGGGAGCACAGCCCTGCTCTGACACACGGGGTCGCCATGAGTCGGGGTCGAGTCGACAACAGGCCCGTCTGGTTTGTTGTTTGGTCTAACCAACAGAGAGCTAGGTGTCTCAGATAAAGTGACAGTCACACAGGATCCAACCAGAAGACCCAGAACAAAGGGCATTAACCTTCCGTGTTATCGTGTGGCAATGGCCTCCCCACACAGACATGGTGTGTATCACACAGGGATACACACACACAGACACACACTCACACTCACATACTGTTATGGATCAAATTGTGTCCCCTAAAAATATGTGTTGTAAATCCTAAACCCCTATACCTATGGGTGTAATCCCAGGAGGAAGTAGGACTTCCTTTGTTACGTTAACAAACCACACCAGTGGAAGGTTGTCTCAAACCAACCACCTTTGCAATGTAAGAGCAGATGAGGCACAGAGAAGCACGCAGAAACGGAGAGACCAACGCCACGCGGAGATCACCAACGGACGGAGGAAGAGAAGCTGAAAGAGACAAAGACCTTCCCCAGAGCCCACAGAGAGCCTTCCTCTAGAGCCCGCGCCCTGAACGGGGGCTTCCAGCCTCCAAACTGCGAGAAAATACGTCTGTCTGTTAAAGCCACCCACTTGAGGTATTTGCTGCAGCAGCGCTAGGAGACTAGCCGCCCACGTAAATACACAGAAACACAGACTGCACCATCCGTCAAGGTGCAATGGGTGTACACAGAGCCGTACGCTAGCGTTTAGATCCGAAAGCAACAGAGGGCATGCTGACGTGTCTGTGTACCCCCCACGCCGTGGAAAGACACGTACAAGACTGGTCATGGGGCTGCTTCCTGGGAGAGGAGCTCTGGGACCAGAGGGGAGACACCCTGCTCACCTTGACCCTGTCACACTGTTTGAACTCACCTTGCCTGTGCCTTAGTGTCTCCAAAACCAGAATCTGTTTAATGAGAGGCGGAAAGGCAAAAAGGCAGGCCTCCCCACCATCGACACCCCCAGAAAGCCTGCCGCTCCTCCCAGGATGCCCTGGGCAGGCGTCTGGCCCCAACCCAGCTGTCCACACCCTCAGGGTGTGCCCTGTGCTTTTCCTTTCTGAACTCCACTCCCTGGAACAGCACCTGGCCCTGAGTATGCACTCAGTGTTTGCTGAATGACCAAGGTTCAGACGGCCACCTGTGGAGACACATGCAGCTCACACCGGCTGGTGAGCCTTGCTGGGTCCCAGCGGGAGGTGGAGCAGGGTGGAGGGGTGAAGAGTGGGGCCGGGTCCTCACCCACCTTGGCCAGGCCTGCGCGGTGGGCGCCCTGGGACTCGATGTAGGCCACGTATTTGTTGAAGTCCTTGAACTCCTCCATGGTCGGGCGGAACGTCATGATCTTGCAGCTCGGGTTCTGGGCACCATGGTCCTCGGACCCCATGGCTGCAGCTGGTGGGGGGGCGCCACACCTGCGAGGAGACAGAGGGGAGAAGGTCAGGGCACCACATTCTGGGTCTCCTCTCCCTGGGAGCATGCGCAAATGCCCGGGCTGCAGGGAGAGGGCATACCTTACTCCTCCACACTGAGCACGAAAGTCCACGGCGACTTTAGCTAATTAAAAACAGAGGCGTCCTGGTTTTGGAAGCCATGGCAACACGGAGTCAGTGCACTGATTCTAACCGAGGGCCCTTGGAGACTGGGGCCTCGTCCGTGTGCACTGGCATCGGCTTCCCATCAGTACATTCACTCTGCAGCCAACAGATGGCAGCACTCGCGGGTTTCTGTAGGGGAGGGGGGCTGTGTGTGTGAATCTGGGCTGTTCACAGTAAGAACTCGTGGGCAGAGGGGTGCGTGACGCGGGCAAGGTCCCCTGTGGATGGTGCATGTGTCCACGGGACTGGCCTGGCCAAGGGAGTCCCGCTGGCAGCACAAGGCAGGAATCCTGACCAGGAGCGTATGAGGCCCAGCCTGGACAGCCCGCTTCCATGGCCTAGATGCCCGAAGTCACCCAGAGGAGCCTGGTCGGCTATAAACCAGCCCGGATGTTTCTGCAGAGCCCTGGGTGAGGCAAATGGTGAACGTGCTCACCTGTTAACCCAAAGGTTGGAGGCTCAAACCCACTCAGAAGCACCTCAGAAGAAAGGCCTGGTAATTTACTTTTGAAAACTCAGCCATGGAAAACCCTATGCAACCCAGTTCTACTCTGACACACACGGGGTCGCCAGGGGTCGCAGGCGACTCCATGACACCTGGCTTGGTTGGGTTTTGGCCTGGACGTTTTGATGCCGAGTGGGCAGTGCGGCCCAGGGTGCTCGCCCCACGAGTGAAGTGGACAGCAGGGTCAGGCTCTCCTCTGAGGAGCTGGCCGGAGGGGCACGATCCTGTCCTGGCATCAGGGGACTCAGAGGGAGGCTGGCGGCCCACCTCCACTGGAAGGGGCCTGCTTGGCAGATGAGTCTCCAAAAACTTGGTGGGAAGGCCACAGACTCCCTGCAGGATTGGGAAAAGGCCAGAACAAGCACACACAAATGCGAGAGCTCAGAAAGAAACTGAACAAGTCCACTGTCCCTGCCTGCCTTCCCACCCTGCAAAATGAGCTGGGAAGGAGAGAGAAAGTCAGCAAGCCTGCCAGCCCGGGGAGGGGTTTCACACTGCCACCACGCAGCCCTCGGCTCACCAAGCGCGCTCCACCCAGTGGGCACTAGAGGGCAGCATTGCCCAAGGACCGGCGTGCGACGCGCGGCGCTCCGAGGGACCTGGAGGCTAGGGCGATCCCCATCCCCTCAGAAAACCCTGTACGTTGGTGAATGTACCAGAGGAGAAGGGCTACATGCAAACTCGCTAACGGCGGCCGGTCCTACAGGGCGAGACGTGGGACACGGGGGTGGAGGAAAGAGGGGGACTTAACTTGCAACCATCGTTTGGATTTATCTCCATACCACACTACCAAAATATTGTTGTTTCTGTTATTGCTGCTATCTGTTGCTGACGAACTGATTCTGACTCATGGTGACCCCCGCATGTGCAGAGTAGGACTGCTCCACGGGGTTTTCAAAGCTGTGACCTTTCAGAAGCAGATCACCAGGCCTGTCTCCTGAGGAGCCTCTGGGTGGGTTTGAACCTTCAACCTTTCACCTAGTAGTCGTTCACGCCCTCCAGCTTGAGTGTGACTCTCGCTGCTGTGTGGAGATCCCTTGGCCCAGGACACAAGAACAAGGACTAGTTAGGAGGCCACCGAAGGGGCGCTGGGGCTCAGTGGAAGAATTCTCACCTTCCACACAGGAGACCTGGGTTCAATTCCCAGCCAGTGCACCTCACGCACAGCCACCACCCATCCGTCAGTGGAGGCTTGCGTGCTGCTGTGATGTTCAACAGGTTTCAGCAGAGCTTCCAGACTAAGACTAGGAAGAAAGGCCTGGCGATCGACTTCCAAAAGCCAGCCAGTGAAAACCCCCTGGATCACTACAGTCCTATCTGCGACCGATCACGGCGACGGCACAGGACTGGGCAGCATTTCTTCTCACTGTGTGTGAGGTCACCATGAGTTCTGGCACCAACTCGACGGCAGCTGACGACAGCAGGAGGCCAGCACAGTACCCAGGTAAGGCATGATGGCGGCCTGGACCAGGCTGGTACCACTGCAGGTGGTAAGGCGTGCACAGATTCTGGATACACTCTGAAGATAAAACTGGCAGGCACCCCTTTCTCTGCCAGCTCAGAGAGGCAGATGTGGAGAGAGCACAGTGCTTCCCACCTCAGGCTCCGGCGCCATCCGAGCTGGGTGCTGCCACCACCCCCACACTGACGAGCTGGGCAAGTAACTTCCTCTGCACCTCAGCTTCCTGCTCTGTGCAATGGGCTAATAATCACACCTGCCTCAGAGGGCTGTTGTGAGGCTTTCTCAGGAAGGTGAACACAGCCACCCTATGACCCAGCAATTCACCCCCAGAGAAGTGAAAGTTCACGTGTACACCTGTGTTCGCTGCATCCAGGAGCAGCCAGCCCTCCCCGGGCCACCGCCCCCTCACAGCTGCTGCCCCCCACGTCTCACCGGCCAGAATCCCGCTCTGGGAGGAAGCCTCCAGAACCAACAAGGAAGGGCCACCAGGGGGCAGGTGGCTGAGGCTCGACAGCAACCTAGAGCGTGGGTGAGAAACAACAGAGGGGGCACCCTCGCTTCCGGGGTGACAGCCCTCGGCCACCTGCACGCTGTTTGTCTGTCTGCCTGAGAACCAGAATTTGGAAACGCGACGACCGGCACGGGGCCACCCTTTTCCGACAAAGCCAGGTGGAGTTTTCTGCTGCATATGGTGCTGAGGGTGGACTCTCGGGGGGTTACAGGTTCTCTGGCAGACGTTTTACAGAAACGGAACAAGTAAAATTTGTAACGTGGAGGTTTTGACACACGGTATTCAGCATGCCGGGAAGTAGGTCCCCTATGCGCATGCAAACTTACGAGTAGAAAAGTTTACACACAGTACATTGCTTTTGACCTGGGGACCTTGGTCCTTCTCAAACCAGCCTTGAGGGAGAGTGTCTCCCCCTCTCTCCCTCTACTCTGGCACCACCTCCCACCCCCGCTCTCTGTCCCCAGGAGGTTCGGCCATCAAGTGAAGCCCCAAACCTCCTCAGTGAACCCTAGCCAGCCACCTGCTCCCTTCTCAGCCCAGTCCCCAACAGGGACGGTGACAGAGGAGTCCCTGAGCGAAGACAAGGCCCCAAAGGAGTCATTTATCCTCCACCAGGATTCAAGCCCAAACTGAGCACAGAGGCGGCACAAGAGCCCCCTTGGCCCCGTCCCCCACGTGTGGCCGGCTGTGTGTCCACGGGTGGCTCTGGAAAGCTTGCTGATGGGAGGAAGCAGGCCCCTTGTATCCAGTGCAATCTGCATGCAGGGTCTGGTGCAGAAGCGAGAAAAGCCTGCTTTCTGCAGACAGACGCACGCTTGGTTGTCCTCTGCCTCATCTGCGTGCAGCTACGTGCTGGGCTCCCGACAAGGCAGGCACATGACCCGACCTCACACGTGCAGTGTGAGCACCTGCGGCCCCACTGTCACCGCCACCCTGGCAACAGAGAAGCCGCGGCCCAGCCAGCTTTCCGGAACACAGTGCCAAATCGGGGGGCTGGAGAGGGAGGCCAGGCCCCTGCCTTTGTATCTGCTGCCTTTGTACCTGTTCTAGCTCCTGGGTCCTGGCCTTTCCAAATGGCAGCAGAGCCAGGTGGAGGGAGCCCAGGGCCCAGAGAGCAGGCCACCAAGCCAACAGTCCAGGAGCTGCCCAAAGGGGACATGCCATACCACAGGCATCCCCAGATAGGACAGCTCCATGGAGGACGCCAGGCCTGACCCAGCTGGGCCCCACAGAACTGACTGGGTGGCACTACCCGTGGGCACGAGAGAGGGACAAGGCTGAGGCAGAAGCACAGGAGACCGAGGCTGGACAGGCCAACTTAGAAATTTAAGTCCAAGGCAAGCGAGGCTGGTGGGGCTCACAGCACCGAGAGAGACTCAGGAGGGTGCAGCAAGGGTACCAGGCTGACAGCCACCTAACAGTTACTGCAAAGACACGTGAAGTCCGAGAGGCAGAAGGAAAAACTACCCCGGAGCCTGTGTATCGTGTCCCACAGGTGCTGTGACAAATGGCCACACACTTAGCGGCTTTTTATAACACAAACTTATTCTCGCGTGGTTCTGGAGTCCAACAGTCTCACTGGGCCAAAATCAGGTATCCGCTGGGCTGGTTCCTTCTGGAGGCTCCAGGAGAGCTGGACTTTTCCAGCTTCTAGAGGCCGCCCACATTCCTTGGCTTGTGGCCCCCTCCTCCGTCTTCACGGCCTGCAGCGGAGCATCCCCCAACCTCTTTCTCTCTGACCTCTGTTCCCATCCTCCCATCTCCTTCTCTGACTCTGACCCTCCTCTGCCCTCTTGTAAGGACTCTGGTGATGGCACTGGGCCCACCCGGCTCATCCAGGGTCATCCTCCATCTCCAGAGTCTTCACTTAATCCCATCTGCCAAGTCCCTTTTGCCATGCAAGACATTACAGTCACAGGTTCCAGGGATTCAGATCTTGGACATCTTTAGGGGACCATCATTCAGTCTACCACAACCTACCATGCAAGAAATACATTATGCCAAGAAATAAGTAGCAATCACCACGTCCCTCCAAGCCCTCCCCAAACTGGAGACTGCAGGTGTCTCAGGGAAGATAAGCATGCGGACCTGGACTCATTCAGACAAAAGCAGTTTCTAGAAAGTCAGATATGGGATCAAGCTGGACAGAGGTCTATGCCACTTTTTCTCCACTTTTGTCCATAATCAGAGGCAGACAGCTTTCCTGGTTCTACAGACAAAATGCTGTTCCATCCTCAGGACACGGCAAATGCATGGAACCACCCCCAGCAGCCACCCTGCTTGCCCAAGTGGTGGACACGCAGCTGTCCCTAGCTGTCTGCTCTTCCAAACCCCCTTGGCCTTGCATCCTTGTGTCTATGCTTGCATTTGCTGCAGGCTGGACCCTGAGAGGGGGCTTCTGGGATTGTGAGGTTGAGCCCCGAGACAGAGGAGACATGAATGGCAACCTGGGCTCAGCCCGCTGGGCTGCCCTGCAACCTCTGTCCACACGACAGCACCCGTCCTCTCGGGACAACCAAGCCCCTTCCCGCAGTCACCCAGCACTAATCCCAGAGGAGGCGCGTGATGCCCAGGGACCATGGCAAGTGGGGCGGTGCTCACTGATGGTAACACAGAACTACGGCACCTGGCCCAGGAGGCCTCCCGTCACGGAACAAACAAGCCACGTGGCTCAAACCCAAACAAACCTCTCTTCTTCGGCACTGCCTACGGAGGCGTGGTGTCAGCCAGCAGCACTGGCCGCCCTCAGACCCCTCGTGAGATTCAAGGGCGTCAAGAAGAGGACCAAGGAGCTCACCGGGCACCGGGCACCGGTCAGACTGATGTGTCAAATGTTGGCTGCGGGCGCAACAAGAACACGAAGCACCTGCGCCCCGGGGCTCCGGGAACTTGCTGGCCCACACTGTCAAGGCGCTGAAGTGCTGATGACACGACAATCCTCCCTGGGCTGAGACATCGTGGGGGAACCGCCCAGCTGGCCCTCAGGTACGGAGCCCAGGGCCGGGCCGTGAGTGAACAAACAGCGCATGGGTAGACTTGACGACTTCCAAACCAAGTCAGCCACCCAGCCCCAGGCAGTGAGTGAACCTAGACCAGGGCCAGCAAACACTGTCACATTTGTAGGCCAGACGATCTCGGCTGCAATGACTCATCTCTGCCATCACAGCGCAAAAGCCACCACAGATGACAGGTAACTGAATGGGTGTGGCTGTGTGCCAATAAAACTTTCTTTACAAAAACAGACAAGGGGCTGGATTTGGCCAGTGGCCCAGAGTTTGCCAACTCCTGACCCAGATGCATGCAGCCCACCTCTCGGAGGAGCAAAACCTTTACTCCACTCCTTCCAAAAAGGACACTGAGCCGTGCCGCCTACCTCCTTGATGTCCTAAATCATGGCAGACCAGCCCACACCTGACCCTAACGAGCTACATGATCTTGGACAGGGACCTTCACCCCTCTGGAGAAGGTAAGCACCACAGGACCCAAGAGCAACACTGAGCATAGGTGCCTTTTTCCGGTGGGCACAGGGTCGTCAGGACCAGCCAGCAGGGAGTCACCTCAGGGAGCCCATGGTACTGTTCATCCCACATCGACGCCCCTCCCACCCCGGGCCACCCCCACCCCCACCCTGTGAGCGTGACCTGGGACATGATTACACTGTGTCCCTCTCTTATGACTGGTCACCTTGGGCCACTATCTGAGACCACCTCTTTAATCCCTGTCCCTGGTTTGTAAGCAAAGTCCAGTAGAAGGTAGATATCATAGAGTCAAAATCCTGAACAGCTGAGCAGTGGTATTCTTCTCAAAGTAGTTTTAAAATAATCTTCTATTTTTAATACGTGTCCAGTTGCCTCTGTGAACAACTGCCTCCTTTGCCACGAGACCAGAAGAACTGGATGGTGCCCGGCTACCAATACAAATGTTTACATCAAGGATTCTACAGAAGAATCCTAAGCAAAAGGGGGGAAATGAGGAACAGAATTTCAAATTCATGTAAAATCCAGACTTTCAGGAGACATGGAGGCTGGATGACTCCCTGAAACTATTGCCCTGAGAGAATCTTTAAACTTTAAGCCAAAAACATCCCCTGAAGTCTTCTTTGAACTAAATAATAGTCTAGCCTAATTAGAAAAGAATGTCTGCATTAAGCATTATGCACTTTTAAAGAATTATCTATATGTGATTAAATTGACAACAGCAACTTGAAAGGGCAGATGAGAAGTTTAGGGGGCAGTGAGTTTGTGTTGATGATGGTGGAATGGTTTGCAAAAGGTTGTTGAGAAGGGTGGCACAGCCTGAAGAATGTAACCAATGTCAGTGAACTGAACATGCGGAAATTGTTGAACTGGTATATGTACCGTTGTGTATATTTTCACCAAAAATAACAATAGTAATAATAATCTTCCCATTTTTAGAGGCTCCCCACTGTAACTAGTGACCATTTCCTATGGTGGGTGGGACAGGCCAAGTGTGCCCCAGGAGCCCAGAAGGAGTATCCTGGGGGCCTCACCCACACGACACAGACTGGGCAGGACATCCTGGGTGATCCCAGTGTCACCGGGGTTGGTGGTTCTCAGGGTTTCTGGAAGTAAGGGACAGGCCTTGAGAGGCGGGAGGGCAAACCTGGCACATGCGGACTCAGGGAAGGAAGGAAGGCCCAGCAGGACCACGCCCAGTGAGCTCCAAGTTTCTTATGAGTTGAACTGTGTCCCCAAAAATATATGCTGAAGTCCTGAGCCCAGGACCTGTAGCTGTGACCCTGTTTGGAAAGAAGGCCTTTGCACATGTTATCAGTTAACACAACATCATACTGGAGAAGGGTGAGCCTAATCCAGCATGACTGGTGTCCTCGTAAAAGAGGAGCACGGACAGGGAGACAAGGTTAGACAGCAGAGAGCGTCCACGTGACCACGGAGCTCAACGCAAGCCAAGGAACACCAAGTACTGCCGGAAGCCAGCAGAAGCTAGGAGAGAGGCACAGACACACTCTTCCTCAGAGCCCTCAGAAGGCATCAACATGGCTGATACCCTGATTCGCACTTTCAGCCTCCAGGGTGGCGGGACAATACAGCTCAGTTCTCATACGCCACCCAGCAGGTGGCCCTCTGTGACGGCAGCCCAGGACACAGATACCTTGGTGGATACAATTCCTCTCAGGGCATCGAGACCCCGACCATGCCAGGCTGCCCCTCCTCGCACAGCCTCCAGACCTGACAGCGCTGGGGGAGCCCGTGGGTGCAGTGTCTCAGGCTAGGGCAGCAGGCGAGGCCAGCAGCCGACTTCACTTACTTTGGAGCTCTGGGTGCGTTCTGGACAGGGGAAGGTGCTGATGCCAGGCTCCAGGGATTGGCTAGGATCTGTCAGGCACCTCCAGCAGTCGTGACAGTACCTAAAACGTGCAAAATACAAGCCCAATTAACTCAGTGGGTCGCATGCTTAAATTTTAATTCTGAATCTCCGCAGCTGCATGTAGCCCAGGGATGCTTGCCTTTATTCAGACAATTCCAAATGCTTGCGAATGTTCGGGAACAGGAAATCCAGAACTATAAGCAGTTTACACATTCAAGTCTCCCAATGACTGCTCATTTTAAGATCAGTTCCTAAAAACCAGTACCTTAGCAAGCAGGAGGCTCAGTGAACAATTCGATTAAACCAGAGAAGCTTCTGGAAGCCTAAAGACACAGGCAGCTACCGAGAGATTTTCATAAAGAAGCTTTGTCTCCTCTAAGCACCCCCAACCTAGGAACGCACCCCTTCAAGGAGTTAAGTCTTATGGAAAACGCCAGCATCTTCACCACCCTGGAGGCAGACAGAGCACAGGAAGAACGCTACAGAGCACAAGAAGCTCAAGGCAGAAACCAGCTACCTTGGAGTCGACTCCAACTCATGGAGACCCCACGCATGTCAGAGTAGAACCGTGCTCCATAAGGCTTTCAATGACTGATTTTTTGCAAGATCGCCAGGCCTTTCTTCCGAGGCACCTCTGGGTGGACTTGAACCTCCAAGCTTTCAGTTAGCAGCTCACAGCATTAACCATTTGTGTCACCCAGGGATTCCAAGTTTGAGACAGGACCCAAATGATCTGTGAACGCACAGTCCTGACAGACTCCCACACCTGCTGAACGGATGTAGGACAAGCTCTAACACAGATGTGTTGCCAAGGCCTTTCCCCATCTCATCTAAGACTCCTCGGGCCTTGCCCGCCCACACTGCCCAGGCACCCCCAGAGCTTCCCTCCTTTTCAGATGCCCTGATGCCCCTGATGGCACGTGGGTCTCCTGGACCCTCCCTGGCCTCAGTGCCTTTGCATCCTCCATTCGGGCTGCATGGCCACTCCCTCAGATGTGACTCGAGTGTCCCCAGGTGGCCTGACCTTGTGGGCAGGAGGCTCGCCCCCTGCAGCCCTGGCTTTCATGCTGCCACCGCACTTTCTAGAACACGGTTGTTGTTAGCAGCCGTCAATCAGCCCCCAACTCATGGCGACCCCACGCACAAAAGAACAAAACGCTGCCCAGTCTTGTGCCATCCCTATCATCAATTGCAGATTGGCCCTAGCCTGGAAGGCAGGGCCAAGATGGTGGAGTAGTCAGATGCTTCCGGATGACCCTCTTACAACAAAGACCTGAAAAAACAAGTACTTTGATTATATATGGCAATCTAGGAGCCCTGAACATCAAAGGCAGAGTTGAGGAACCAGACTGAGTGGCAGAGGGGAGGGAGAGACAGTTAGGAAGCAGTGAGGAGTTGCCAGACCTGACCTGGCGAGAGCCTGAGCCCTTCAGGCCTGATCAGCTCAGGGGTGAGCAGGGAGGCAGGCAAGCAGCCATGCTTGGGAGGTGTGTTTTCCGCACCGGGAGAGACCCAGCATGAAGAGAGTCTACACGGCCACCCAGAACCAGTGAGAAGCAGCCTTCCATGAAAGGTAAGTACTTGCGAACGACTTACCGTGTGGATCAAAAACACCCCTCTTAGGGAAAAACCTCTCTCCCATTTACCTCCCCGCTCCCTGCTCTGCACTGGGTCCCGGACCAGCTTCAGCAGTTGCTCAGCCCCGTGGGCCAGAAGTAGGATCTGTCACACGCCCGGAGCCATTCTCCCTGCCTTGGAGAGTGAACAAATTAACAAACAGGAAAAAATAAACTGCCGGCTCCCCTAAGCCAGGAACCCAGGGTAGCCACAGCTTCTTTGGCTAAGCACACGCATGAGGGATCCAAGGACTTTGAGTGCCATTCCCCCTGCACAGACTTGTGTGGGCCCATCTCAACAGCATAAGCCCTCATTACTGCAATACAACACGGCACATACCGGAACTCTAACTTCAACGGTTTCAGCTGTGAAGTGGCATGTTCTTGACATTTGACACTGCTCTGCCCATTAAGCAGGGTTTTCACCTACCCACATCAGGGGCCTAAGGACTGGTGGCTCCACCCACACCACCTAGCCACAGCATTAGGTGCTCATAGTCCAGCTGCAAAACGCACACACCTACGTGCTCTAACGAACAGGGACACACCTTCTTCCTGGACACTCGGGGGTGGCCATCAGCCCCCTGCCTTGCTCAGAGTGTGTCCTCCTGCTGCAGCCAGATGCTTGTGCCTACACCAATCACCCATGCCTGTCTAAGACTGTAAGTGAGAGCCTACACCACAAACTTGGTGGCTATCTACCTGCGCACCTGAGCTGAATCCATACAGGAGGAGTGGGCAGACTCCTGACCTCTCATACCTAGTAACAGATCTCACCACCTGGTGACAGGACGTGAGAGCTTCAAAGGTGCCAGTAATCAAACTAGCTCATATAAGCAGCCTATTTGGGCATATCAAAACAAAACATGAAGCTAGGACACAGTAAGCGCACATAAAATAAATAACTTATTGATGCCTCGGAGACAACAATCAATATCAAACCACATAAAGAGGCAATCCATGATGGCTTCAGCAAGCTCCCAAAATAAAGAATCTAGAAATTTTCCAGAGGAGGAAAATTTCTTGGAATTACTGGAGGCAGAATATGAAAGATTAATATACAGAACTCTTCAAGAAATTAGGAAGAAAATTAAGCAAAACACAGAACATACAATAAAGGAAATTAAAAAGATTAGAGAAGAGCATAATGACAAATTTAACAGGCTGCAAAAATCCACAGAGAGACAGCAATCAGAAATCCAGAAGATAAACAATAAAATTTCAGAATTGGACAACTCAACTGAAAGTCATAGGAGCAGAATTGAGGCAATGGAAGTCAGAATTGGTGAGACTGAAGATAAAGCACTTAACACTAACTTATTTGAGGAAAAATCAGATAAAAGGATTTAAAAAAATGAAGAAACCCTAAGAATTATGTGGGACTCTATCAAGAGGAATAACTTAACGAGTGACTAGAGTACCAGAACAGGGGGGAATAACAGAAAATACAGAGAGAATTGTTGAAGATTTGTTGGCAGAAAACTTCCTTGATATTGTGAAAGATGAGACGATATCTATCCAAGATGCTCACCGAACCCCACATAAGGTAGATCCCAAAAGAAAGTCACCAAGACATATTATAATCAAACTTGCCAAAACTACAGATAAAGACAGAATTTTAAGAGCGACTAGGGATAAACGAAAAGTCATCTACAAAAGAGAGTCAATAAGAATAAGCTCAGACTACTCAGCAGAAACCATGCAGGCAAGAAGGCAATGGGATGACATATATACAGCCTTGAAGGAAAAAAACTGCCAGCCCAGAATTATATATCCAGCAAAATTCTCTCTCAAATATGACGGTGAAATTAGGGCATTTCCAGATAAACAGAAGTTTAGGGAATCTGCAAAAACCAAACCAAAATTACAAGAAATACGAAGGGAAAATCTGGTTCGAAAATCAGTAACATCAGATAACAACTCATGACTAGAACACAGGACAGAGCAACCAGATATCAACCCAGACAGGCAAGTCACAAAAGTAAACCAAAGCTAAAACACTGAAAATAGGGAAATAGATGTCAATATGTAAAAGATGACAATATTAAAACAAAAAAGAAGGACTTAAAAAATGTAGACGTAGATTTTTCATATGGAGAGGAAATCAAGGTGATATAAAGAAAGAGAAGACCAGTATAAACTTAGAAAAATAGGGGTAAATATTAAGGTAACCACAAAGGAAACTAACAATCCTACAAGTTAAAATAAAAAACTAGAAAAATATAAAGACTCAGCAAACACAAAATCAACAACAACGAAAAAGATGAAAAGAAAATACATAAAAACGACTCAGCACAGAAAATTAAGGGGAACAAAGAAACTGTCAACAATACACAAAAAAAGACATCAAAATGGCAACACTAAACTCACAC